AAGAAATTCCTTAAGTGGAGGTCTATAAATAGTTATTTATTGTCGTATCTTGATTAATGAATTTTGCTATTGATGTTATTGTTATCGTTATATGTAATGCTGATGAGAAGGCTAATGATATTGGTGATAATGATGATGATAATAATGATGTTGAAATAATGATGATGATGATGATGATGATAATAATGGTGATGATAATAATAATGATGATAATAATAATGATGATTATAACACTGAAGAAAATAATAATAAGGATGACAATAATAATAATAATAATAGTAATAATAAGAATGTTAATAATAATAATAATAATAATAATAATAATAATAATAATAATAATAATAATAATAATAATAATAATAATAATAATAGTAATGATACAAAAAAAATAATAGTAATAATATTGATAATAATATTCATAATGATAATGACAATAATAACAATGATAATGATAATGATGATAATAAAGATAATAACAATAATAACAATATTATTATCAGTATCCTTATTATCATCGTTATCATAATAGACGAAATATAAAATAAAGATATTCACAAAACGCTGCAAATTCAGTTTTCACTCAATCTATATCCGGAATTTTGTCAAGATTAATATTGTTATTGAGAGGTTTATTTGCATAATAAAATTGCATGTCTTGTGCAAAAAGGAAAAAAAAGGGGGGGGGAGGTAGGTCATGCTCGTCCCTATATCGAAAGGAAATGGTTTAGTTTATTTAAAAGAGTAATGTTTAAGTTCATTTTATTATTTATTTATTATTTATTATTTATTTATTTAGTTCTATGTTGCTGCTACTCAAAGTCTTTTAGTATTGTAGTGCAAATACGAAGAAAAACAGTGGTTGATTGTGGTAGCGGTATGTTTTTTTTTTATTTTTTTTTTATTTATTTCTTCATTATTCTATTCATGCTTTGGTTAATTCGTTTCTCTTCTCTTATCTCTCTTTTCTCTGTCTCTGTCTATGTCTCTCTCTTTTCTCTGTCTCTGTCTCTGTCTCTGTCTCTGTCTCTGTCTCTGTCTCTGTCTCTGTCTCTGTCTCTGTCTCTGTCCTCTGTCTTCTCTGTCTGTCTGTCTGTCTGTCTGTCTCTCTTCTCCTCTCTCTCCTCTCTCTCTCTCTCTCTCTCTCTCTTCTCTCTCTCTCTCTCTCCTCTCTACTCTACTCTCATCATCTCTTGTATGGTATGTATATAATGTACACACACACACACACACACACGCACATGTGTGTGTGTGTGTATGTACGTGTGTGCCTGATTCTCTTACTAGGAAAGCGACTTAAACCAACACAGGAAAGTAACTACAGGTACTAACTAACTACCAACTAAGAGTATAGTTAGAAATATACAATGAAATAAATAGAATAAATAAATAAATAAATAGAAAAATACACGCAATATTCATAATCAACATACTTTCACACACTTTCAAACCGCAACATGGAAAAAAAAAATGATAAATTCAACAAGTAATACCAGTAATCCCTAAATACCAAACTGGTGAATAGAATCTAGAAGTACCACCGGTATTTTCGTCCTTAAAAAACAACAAATGTTCATAAATTCACATACCAAGTACCATCCATTAAAGCAGATGGTAGGAAAATAGCCCTAAAAATATGGTACTACTTCTAGCGGTACTAGTTTCAAAATATAAAAAAGTACCGAAAAGTACCGAAGCGTTACTAGCTAACAGAGCAAATAGGGTAATTAGGAAGAGAAGCCGAGAAATGGAGTAGGAGGTGGAGGAGAAAGAGAAAATGGGAAGGAAGAGGGAGAGGAGGAGAGAAAGAGGGAGAGAAGGAGAGAAAGAGGAAGAGGAGGGAAAGAGGAAGAGAAGGGGAGAAAGAGAGAGAGAAGGGGAGAAAGAGGAAGAGAAGGAGAGAAAGAGGAAGAGAAGGAGAGGAAGGGGAAGAGAAGGAGAGAAAGAGGAAGAGAAGGGGAGAAAGCGGAAGAGAAGGGGAGAAAGAGGAAGAGAAGGGAAGAAAGAGGAAGAGAGGGAGAGAAAGAGGAAGAGAAGGGGAGAAAGAGGAAGAGAGAGAAGAGAAGAGAAGAAGAGAAAGCGAAAGAGAAGGAGAGAAAGAGGAAGAGAAGGGAGAAAGAGAGAAGAGAAGGGAGAAAGAGGAAAGAGGGAGAGAAGGGGAGAAAGAGGAAAAAGAGGAGAGAAGGGGAGAAAGAGAAGAGAAAGAGAGAAAGAGGAAGAGAAGGGGAGAAAGAGGAAGCGAAGAAGAGAAAGCGAAAGAGAAGGGGAGAAAGCGGAGGAGGAAAAGAGAATAAGAGGACCTATATAGTACTACCTCTAGCAGTACTATCTAGCAGTAC